TGAATAAAAAATAAAAAAATACAATTTTGCCCATGCACTTCTGAGAATTATTGGCAACATCTGGCGAAACTTTGTTGAGCCGATTTCGTCATTAAGAAAACTATAAATAGAAACAACGAATGAGTTTTCGGTGCATTGAGATTCTTACAGACAAGATATACACACAGAAATTTACTTGTATCCAGAAAGATATTTATACACTCAAAGAGACACTAAGAAAACTTAATTCTTATACTACATTTTGAAACCAACTTTCTTTATGAGAGATTAGGAAAATTTACACTACAAATTTTTCCACTCAATATCTTTCATAGAAAAAACTTAGATGCCAAAGAAACAACTTAATCTTATGCTACTGCATTTTTGAAACAAACTTTCTTTATGAGAGATTGGGAGAATTTACATTACAAACTTTTCCATTCAATATCTCTCATAGAAAAACCTTTTGTCTAATTTGAATTTGACCTTTATAGTAAAAGGCAGACAACTTTTACTTAATTTTGAAATTGAACATTTCTGAAGCAGTAAAAAACTTTTTTTTCTTGAATATACTCTTGCAAACATCATTACAAAACAAAAAATTGTAAAATTGTGTATATAAAATTTAATTTGTTGTTCCAAACATGTCCCTTTTGTAGTAATTGAATATCGTTACCATTTGGCCATTTTTTAAAATTTATGTTTGTGGATATTGCATGCTTTATTTGCAGCACAACTTTTAATAATTCATGCAACCTTCCTAGATCTAGAACAGAATCATTGTGGTAGACTGTATATTACAATAGCACCAAATTTTCTATTGAAGAAATGATAAGATTATTTAATTGTAACTAAGCCTGTATATAATTTAATGGTTAATGAATTCATTTTGCAGACTAATTTGTTCTAGCAGTTATCTCAGTCATGACTAAGTTTAGTAAATTGCTATATGCTTGCTTGCTGGGTTAGAGAGTTGTGCATTTTCTGTTGTTCTTGCCCAGCTAAAATTTAAGAGCTTGAATGCTAATTTATCAAGGCAAGCATCCCCTTCCCACTTGAAAGATTAGTACAACACTGTCTTCCTACCCTACCATGCTAAGCTAGGTTTGGTCAATGTCAGTAGTTAATTACAGTGTTTTATGATAATAAACCTCCAAGGAAAAAAATTATCTTCTCACAAATTTTGTATTGATTACTTGTCAGTTATCAACTGGTTACCATAAAAGGGTCATCTTATCATAGCATAATGGTTAGCAAGCTGGTCTCACAGATTATTACCATTGAATAGTGAGTTTGATCCTCACTGGTTGCCTGGTACTTGTGGCCTTGAGTCTAAACTAAACTAAGCTTAGTTAATTGGTTACCACAAGTTTGGGGAGAATTTTTAATTATAAATGTAACAACTGTTCATATTCATCCCCAGACAAACTGTACATATGAGACTGGATAGAATTTTCAAAGTGAGACTTCCTTTTGATTATCGTGTGAAAGAAGATATGGATCTGTGGATGTGACTGGATAAATTAAAAGATATGATACATTCTTTAAGTTTTTGGAGATAAATATTGGTTAGCACCAAAGTTTGACATTAATGCACTTAATAATCAAAATATTAATTTTTTTTTTAGAGTATTAAAAAAGGAAAATTTTATTCTACAAAATAATGTTTAAGATCTCTGAGTTAGTCTGAAAGAAAAATTTTAACAGCCTACATAGCATTTTATGATTTAACCCAGTTGATTTTTATGCATCTGAATGTGTGCACATTTCTTGTTTCAGGTTCAACAGTTTTATTCATTCTTTGACTGGCATCTTAAAAATGCCTTGAGATATTTTCTTGGAATTGAATAAGTAACAGTTTCAGAATCAATAGATGAAAATTTGTTTATAATTTGTTTATTTTTATTTATTTTAATAGGATACATTGTGTTGGAAAATTCTTTAAAAAGTGGAAAAGAAACTTTAAAAGCGGAAAATATTTTCCCAGCATAGGGAAAGTTTGATCAACATAAAAGTTCATTTTGAAATTGGTTTGTGTTTAGAGCAATGGTTATCCAAATTTTTCATTATGAAGATCATGTATTCTGCACATTTTTGTGAGCCAAAGAGAAAATTTAAATAAACGAACGGGTTTGATTTGAATCTTTATTTATTTGTAATCAATGTAATATGATTCAGAACAAAATTGAAGTCCTACATGTCAGACAAAGAAGAACTCTCTCTCTCATTGAGAATGAGGTAAGTCTTGTTCACCACTTCTGCCACTTGACTTGGGTTCCGGTTTACTATGTCTGCTACACAATTGAACCTATGTTTGAGTTCTCTCAGATAATACTGAGTGATATACCAAATTAAATAAGAAACATTAATTTCTTGTTTGAAAAATATAGTTTAGTAATGTAATAGCTGCCTTTGGGCAGAAAAACTACATTTTGTCTCTCAGTTGTGTTTTTGTCTTCAGAGTGACACTGAAAATATCATTGAGAGGGGAACAGCTGTGCACAGCAGTACCTCCCTCATTGCACTAAAGAGGTGTGATCGGTACTATTACTGATGTCAACGAAACTTTGATGGTTGACGGGGATGGGTTATTTTTGGACCTAGCTCAGATGCATGTGCTCAGGATCACCATGTTAAACTGATCTGAAAAAAAAATAAGTTGTAAAAATTGTTGCTTTGGATGCTTCATTATTTTTTTTTTAACTACATTCTAGATTCTCATTATCTGATTTGGGGGACAGTGAGCATTTACAGGTCATAACCCATAATTAACAGAATTTATTTTAGAAACCTATAATTAGAAACAGATATGGTGGGTATTAATGGGTTAAAATTGAAGTTTTATATTTTTTTAATTTCTCTTGAATGATTGATTTCAACTTTTATTAATATCTAAGCTTTTAATGAAAATTTGAATTGAGGGTTGCACAACAGCAATTTAGCTAGGATGATATATAAAGCAAACTTTAAGAAACAAAATAATGAAACCAAGTGAGCAACCCTTTCTGGAAATATTTCTATTTGCTGAAGACTGATATTTTATGCTTTTGGTATGAATAAAAATATTATTTTAAACCATTTATTCAGATCTTTAAAAAGTGTCTTTTCCAATGTTTTTATATTCTTTTCTAATATCATTTTCTTTCCAAAATACAACAAACAGCATTTTAATTTCTCTTCAAGCTATAAACTTATTTTGTTAAATTTGTCAAATTAAATGGTGTTTAATTAAATTGTTTATATTACAAATTCAAAAACCTCTGCTTACTTTTTCTAAACAAAAATCATAAAACAAGATTCAACAAAAATTACTGGTATTGATTCATTCAATTTGATATTTTCTCCTTTGCTTGTGTGCATCCTTAAAAAGATTGTTGACAGAATCCATTTTGATTGCCTAAACCAATTTAAAATATTTTTTAATTACCAAAGAAGTTCTTGATTTATTGATGTTCAGCAATTTCTAAATTTTTAATTTTCAATGTTATACTTGCTTCTCATTTGCAATGGAATAGATTTACAATTTTCAAAATTAAATTTTAATTGCATTTTGTGGTATATTTAATATGTGCATAGTATTTAATGGCACCATTTTCAACAGACACAAATGTGTCACATGTTCATAAATCAGTTCACCCAAATTTTAACTGATCCACTTTCTAATAATTGCTAAGTATTATTTAAATACTCATTGGATTGAAAGTTGTACCATGTGTTGGTTGACCTCTACTTTAGTATATAACAAAACAATATTTATATTTTTCATTATAGTTTTAGGTATTATTTTTTAATAATAAAATATAACAATTAATGAAATTGTTATGTAGCATTAAGGAAATAATTTAAAATCAAAACTAAAGAAAATAATTTTATAACAATGTAAAATGTTTGAACATTAAAATACAAAAAGAGAAGACAAATTCAGTTTATGATAAACTCTAAATTGATGTACCATTAAAAATAGGAATAACTTCCTGCTATGTTCTATCTTTACAAGAATGAGATCAGACCAAAAATGAAGCATTCTTGCTATATCTGGGTTGGAGCTGCCCGGTTTTCACTTTCCAAACTTGATTGAGTTCAAAGCATTTTGTGGACACATACACGTCTACTCATTCTCATTCCCTTTGGTAAGGAGGAATTTCAACTCAGACAGATTTTTCTCCAGAACTGCTACTTTGTGGAACAGACTCCCAAGAGGATGCTTCTCTGATCACTATGACCTTAACCTCTTTAAGTTTAGGGCCAACTGTTATCTAGCATACATTCTCATAATATGCATTTCTTAGTTACTCCCTTTACACTCCTACAGCAACATCATTCAGTTACTCACTCTGAGTGGCTCTTAGGCTTTGTATTGTGTGAAAAATATCATAAAAAAATTAATAACATCTATATAGCTCCTACCTTCACCTGTTTTGATTTTTTGACAATTTAGTTAATTTAAATGTGGCTATAAATTAGAATAGTTATTTAACATGATTTTTACTAATACTTAAAAAAATTGTATTCATAATGCCTCAGATTTCAATGGGAAAGTATTTTATTGGAAAAATAAATTTCAGTAAATGAGGAACAATTTTTTAAAGTTGATGACTATTTACAATGGAAAGACTGAATTTGACCGAATTCTGGAATTTAAAATGTTTAAGGCAAATCCATTTTTATCAGGATCTTAAAATATCAGAAACAGTTTGTAGAACTCTTAAATATTTTGTAAATATTCTTCAGAATAGCCATTTCTTGTAAAAGAAGATGGTTATAATTGGTCTGTGTGGAAACATACTTGTAATAGAACTAATATCTTTTTTTATACTCATTTGCAAATGTGAAGGATTTTATTTTTAAATGAAGAAAAAATACAAGTTATCAAATTTTCATTATAATTAAAAATCTTTGAAGGCGCTGGAACACTTGGCCAGTTTTTCTGTAGGTAAGTTATTTTAACCATTCATAATTAAGAAAATAATTTTATTCTTTCAATAATGAATCATCTAAAATAAATTTTCAAATATTTGCAGGTTACTCATCATGTACAATATCCTGAAAATACAACCCATGTATATTCATATTTTGAAAGCAGAGGTGGCAAATTCCCAAAGACTGTTTTCTTTGGTTTGCAATATCTTCTGAAACGATGGCTTGTGGGACAAATTGTCACCAAAGAAAAGATTGAAGAAGCAAAGGAAATATACAACCTTCACTTTAAGCAAGAAGTTTTTAACGAAGAAGGATGGAACTATATTTTAGAGGTTAGTCAGCAGCAACTTTCAATTTTATTTACTCTTTTAACAGCAAATATATTAAAAAAAGAATTATCATCTGACTGTAAAGTAATATATTTAATTTCCTAGCCTTAGTGAAAAAATGTTTTTAGATTTTTGCCGAATGTTTCCTACAGAAAAATGGTTGATCTCACCATTATCATTGCCATTAACTTAAAGTACTTGATTTAATTAAAAGTCGGATTGTTTATTTTGTAGGGTAGTTTGTAAAGATGACTGTGAATTTTTTGCAATATCATATACCTGTGTTTTTTTTTTTTTTAATAAGGACAGGATTGTTGCCCTTGATACCTTTGTATTTTATGAGCTTCCAGTTAGTTAAATAAATATTGAATTCTGTTTGAATTTTTGAAATAAGGTATTGTTATTTTATTCTGATTTTCATTTTTCCTTATTTTCTGTTTGATACATTCCTTTACGAAGTCTTTTACCTGAGACCTGAGGTAAAAGAAAGATTTTCTGAGAATTACAATAACCGAGTTTTTCAAAATATATGAATGGTGCTCATAAGCACAACCTTTTGTATCTCAAATAGTGATGGGTTTTCTGGGAATTTCTTAATTCAGATGTCAATATTCTTTTTAATCATTCCCAGTGCTCTTATTATTACTGGAATATTAACCTAGAACACTTACTGATTTTTTATCAATGTTTCACTGAAATTTGCTTTTAATATTTCCTACAATGAAATTATGACATTTCCAGTTAAAATTCAATATAGTTATGAATTTGGTCATATTGGCTTCTGAAATTTATTTATTAGCTGTCTTCCTCTTTGAATTCCATCTACCATTTTTGTATATTCCTAAATGACCACAAAATTAGAAATTTTTTTCAGGCTTTATGCCTGGTAAGGTACCATTAAATTATAACTAATTAACAAATAATAGAAACCATTTTGTTTAATATTAATGAGATATCAATTCCTAATTTAAATATAGTACAACCACACACAAACAAATACACACACACACTCACATGATATATGTGTGTGTGTGTGTGTGTGTGTGTGTGTGTGTGTGTGCGTGTGTGAAGGAGTACTAAAAGTTCCCAGCCCAACCAAAAGAGGATTTCTACTTAAATTTTGATTTTTGGTCACTTTTCAGCACCTTTTTATATGTGGGTGAGTGAGGGATTTAGTGAGTGTATGTGTGTGTATATAAACAAATGAAAAAATTTTCTTTAACAATCCATTTCATCCTCTAAGTGACTTTATCATGGTAAATGTAAAGATTTTATTTTGCAACATGTATTTATGAATACAAGTAAAGTGAAGGAAAAATATTAAGTTTTCAAAATTTTAAACTTTAACATCCTCCATAGTTTACCTTGACTTACACAGTTAGCTTTAAGAATATTTTAGAGCATTCTTAAATTTAAAATTTTGAAAAGTTAACAATATTTTTCCTCTACTTCTGTTAATAAATACATGTTGCAAAATAAAATCTTTACATCTATCTTGATAAAGTCCCTTAGGATGAAACGTGTTAGTAAGGGTTAGTATATTATTCATATGGTCTTTTTACAGTTATATTTTATTTATATCTGAATTTTTACATATATATAGTATATATGTGTGTGTGTGTATACACACACACACACACACACATGATTGCATGATACCACATGAAATTTTTAGTTGTGGTTGGCCACTGTTCACCAGGAATTTATTGAAAAAATATTAAGGCTCTGATAGTTAATATAGCATTGAGCTCGCTTTCTTTGGTGTGCCTCTGTGGTAGACTCCCTTAGGAGTTACTTATTTTATATAAAGTAGATATATAGATACACACACACACAAACACACACATATGTAGACACACAAACACAGGAGCAAACATACAAGTTCCAACCTTTCAGTGATATGAGCAAACCTATTTATAAATTGAAATTTTGAAACCTTCCTGACTTACTTGATAAGTGGTAGTATTGTAAATTATTCAGTCTGAACAAATATATTTTTGTTTGGATTTTCCTTTAGCAACATCAATACTAGCAAGGCAATGTAATAAATAAAGCAAATCAACCAACAATATAAATATCATTATTATTATTATTATTACTATTATTATATGTCTGAAGATTTAGACTTTCAAACAAACCTCTATAACTGTTTCTCAACCTTTTTAAGCAATAGCACATCTAAGAGCAAATGAAAATATCATGGCACACTTAGCAAAATTTTTAAAGTGTATACATTTAAATGTTATGAAATAAAACCATAGATTTTTTTAAATACACACACAAATATGACCTTACTTTATTTCAATGTTTCTATTCAACTACTTTTTTATTCTTTGATTATATTTTAAAATAACATAATTAAAGAATAGTGAAAAGAATTATTTGAAAAAAAGTTTAATACTTATTCATTTATTCAAATACTAATGCTATGCCATTACTACTTCCGCGCACACACACACACACACACACACACACACATATGTATATACTATGACAATATTGCATGGCACACTTAAGATCACGTGGCACACTTGTATGCCATGGCATGGCAGTTGAGAATCACTGACCTAGGAGCTATCCTGTTCATAAATAAGGAAACTCCTGTACTTGGAAACCAAAATTTTGATGCTGTAGTAATATTAAAAACATATTTAGTAAATCATGTCAAAACCAAACACAGACAACATACTGAAACAACATACATATTAAATTCTTTCACTTGATGACTCTGCATTATATTTTTTAGCTCTACTATTTGTATGTAATCATTACTTGAAGAGGAAAACAATACAAGTAGAAGAAAAGAAATAAATGGAAAATCTATTATATCAATACTTTTAGTAAGTACTTTATTGATTTAATGATAAGCATTTTACTCATTGCTCTTGAATCAAGTGTTATGCACACATGTTTAATATCCCCACTATTTATTTAGTCTTATGAAAATATTTACTGTGACTCAACAAGTTCTGATTGCTGTAAGATCTCTTGAGAATATGGGATCAAGTTGCCTGTTTTTAATCATTGCAAATCTGTAACATTGCCAGATATTTACCATCATCTCAAGTGACGCTTTATGAAATCAAAGCAAACTGTGTAGATACACACAATGAACACACAAAATAACAAAAATCCTAAAAAATGTTATTGTAACTCCAGATAGAAAGAATATCTTAATTCTTTTCACCTATTCCAGAGAAAGTTTTTAGCCAATGAGCAATGCAAGTCATTTTAAATTATTAGTTTATTAGTTTTAATTGCAGCAACATTTTTAACGTTGTTGGATTTTGTTATGGTCCAGTTCCTTGTACCACGGTGATGGTCTAAGGTAGAACCAATAAAGAACTTGAACATGGATATGGAATAACACAGATATATTACAAACAGGAATATATACAGAGAAGTAGAAAGTGTTAGTACGAACAATCAGGGTTAGTAGGGAGAACAATGTAGTCTCGACCAGTATCACTATTCCAATGTCTTGTAGTAATTGTCTGAACGTGACTCTGTTTCAGACTGCCTCTGACTCGACTGACTGACTCGCTCGCTCTGACTGATAGACTTCTGACGAACTTCACTCCAGACTTCAGACTGAACAGCATTTAGTCACCCCCCCCCACGAGGGCATCATGTAGCACAAGGCCGGTTTAACGTGAGATCTCCGAGCCTGTGTGCTCAGCCCAAAATATGCCCTTTGAACCCATATAAACAGGTTCAGGGTCGGTTTACCTCCCTGAGAGAGACTCAGCCCTTCGGAGTAGCCTCATTCAGGTTCCTCCCCACCCGAAGGCAGAGAGTTCAACCGATCAGCCGGTCACCCGACTTCAGGCTGAACTCTCTGCTTCCTCTTGAGGCGCAGTATTTATTACGTATGGAATAGTCCATTATGTTATTATGGGTAAGGTCCCATAACAGATTTATAAATAAAAATCCTTAGAAGTTTATTTTTTGCTAGGAAGGTTGGTTCGCTGTGTTGTGCGGGACTATTTTTCTCACTAGAATATATCTTGCACATTTAGAAATCTACCTTTTGTTCATGCATTGAATATTGCTGCTACATCTGAACTGGTGCTTCCACTATGTATTTAGAGATTCTTGATAAAATACAAAGTAGAATTAGCAATATTATCAGTTCTGACATGGCATCTCAGTCATTTCCCCACCACTGTAATATAGCTTTGCTGTGCCTTTTCTGTCAATGTTTTTATGGTAATTGTTCTGATGAGCTTCCTTTGGTATCTAGACTTTACAAATTTAAGTGCAGTACTAGATTGGTGGCAAAGTTTTATCATTTTACAGTTGAAATGGCTACATATGACAGTAAGTTCTATGCCAACAGTTTCTTCTCTTGCACTTTTCGCTTATGGAACTCCCTTCCAACTTCTTGCTTTCCAGTCAACTTTCAAAAATTTACATGAAAGTTTATGATATCTCTACTCACGTTATATAATAATAAAAAATAAGTTTTTGTATATTATAAATAGGTACTGCAGATTTTTACAAGGTTGTAATGAGCCAGTGTTCCAAGTTGCAAGGAATTTTCTGTCTAGAAAATCAGTAGACCATCCCTCTTGATATTTATTTAGTCTTGTAGACAGGTAATTAAAACTAAGTCATAGAAAGCTGGAGTAGGAAGATTGTTTTAAGTCAGTCTCTCAATCGGGGAATATTTATCTTCTTTGAAAACTTGTTTTAAACCTTATAGTTCAAAATCCTGTGGCTAGATGAGCTTATTTTATGCTTATTTAACACATAGTCCTTTTATTTTGTTCAACTTAAAATGAAATTCTTATAATTGATAAATTTACTAGTGTTAAATCCCAGCTCATTTTATTTTTTTATTTTTACTCTTTTAAGTGTTAAATACAATAATAAATTGGATTACAAAAAATTCTAATTACATATTGATGTATAACTGTTTAACATTATTATGTTAACTTGATTTATTGTTCTGATAAATTTTCCTCCATGGTACCTAGACTTTATGAATTTAAGTGCAGTAC